ATGGTCCCCAGTCTTGTCTCAGGATTTTGTATGATGAAGTCCAATTTGAATGATTAACTGGATGAGAATACTAAATTTCCTTTTTCTCCTTAGAAGTGTATTGTTTGAGAATATTCATCTAGGTTGTTGTCATCTGAGGGCTTCATATTGGGGAGATTCTGCTTGTAATTTCACATTCATCATTTGAATCTAGGGTGCTATCAGCATCAGTCCTGATTCCTCTGAAGTTATGAAAGTTCTTCCTCTGTAAATTTTGTCTTTACAGTTATGGGTGGGAGATTAAAAATTCTGAATTCTTGGGGTGCCTGGGTGGCGCAGTCGGTTAAGCGTCCGACTTCAGCCAGGTCACGATCTCGCGGTCCGTGAGTTCGAGCCCCGCGTCAGGCTCTGGGCTGATGGCTCAGAGCCTGGAGCCTGTTTCCGATTCTGTGTGTCCCTCTCTCTCTGCCCCTCCCCCGTTCATGCTCTGTCTCTCTCTGTCCCAAAAATAAATAAACGTTGAAAAAAAAAAATTAAAAAAAAAAAAATTCTGAATTCTTAACTGTTCAGTGAAAACCAAAGGCAGACTGCAAGAATGGTGTCTCCAGTCTTTTTATACTTTATTCTTGAAAGACTATGCAGTAAAACTACAGGGTGATGCAGTAGTAACACTATATTTACTGTTGTGTTCTTTCAGGTGATACCATCATTCTTTTCTTTAGACTTTTTTAAAGCACAATTGGAAATAACTGATGAATGATGGTGAAGTAGTAAAGTGTTTCAAGATCCAGAAGAAACAGGATCACTAGATTTCCCCAGAGAGGTTCCATTGGATACATACAATAATTGCAAGATAGAATGAGTTTTGTTTTACTCTAAAGAAAGTAAAATTTATTTTTTGGAGACCTATAAGAAAGGATAAAAGTTGTGACGAAGTAGATTTGCTCATAAAAAATGTACAGGTAAAGTTAAGTCCACTGGAGCCTGATTGGTATATAGGTCTTCCTTTTTTCTGATCATGGTGCACTGTGAAGTTGATCATGAGGTTTTGACTTATTTACATTCCCAGTATTCCCCCACTTCAAGATTACTCTCAGATCACCTCAGTGAAGCTTCAGGCTTTCCAACAGTATTTGCATGTTTAATAGTTTGCATTTAACCCACATATGGGTGTTATCATTGGTAGGTTTTCTCTGCAGAGGCATCCTTAGTTCATATAATCAAGACTTTTGTGGGGTACTTCTTGGTCATCTGTTCCTCCAGCCTCCCCCCTCCACCCCCTGATTTCCACGTATTGAAAATGATATATCAAACAAGATGCTGTATCGTAATAACTCTAATCCCTAATGGAAACTTCTCTAATGTGTTATGTTAACAAACTACTTGATAATTACAAATACAGAGCATATAAGGTGATTTTGTTGTTGTTGTTGTTGCATAGGATGCTTGTAAGATACTTATGTACCCTGCTAGAGGTACTAAATTTAGAATTTATTTATTGTTCAGGTGAACCATTTGTGCATTTGATTCAGTTTCTTCAGCAAGGAATCTAAATACCGTATCCTTGAAGGAATTTTAAAATTGGGTTTCTTTTTGAAAACAGCTCTTGATTTCAACATTAAAATTTTTTTTTAAATGTTTTTATTTATTTTTGAGATAGAGTGTGAGTGAGGGAGGGGCAGAGAGAGAGGGAGACACAGAATCCAAAGCAGTCTCCAGGCTCTGAGCTGTGAGCACAGAGCCTGACGCAGGGCCCAAACTCACAGACTGTGAGATCATGACCTGAGCTGAAGTCAGACGCCCAACCGACTGAGACACCCAGGCGCCCCTGATTTCAACATTTTAAAAATAGTTATCAGATTTCAAATACATCTTTAATAAGTTCTAGCTTATCCTTGTGTCTGATACTTGCATCACCACAACACAGTGCTTACAGATGAACAGTATTGACAGAAACGGAAAGAACCCTGTTTCACACTGTGTTAAACTGTCTTGTAAGAAGAATTCTTTAAAATACTTATGTTTAGGAAACTCACAAATTTGGAATTAGATTTCCAAGGAGCCAAATGGCCCAAAAAAGGGTTTATTTTTGTTTTTCAGTAGTAAAATTTAACTGTACATGACTCTTTTATTAAATTATTTGTAGCACACTAGTTTCAGTACAGTGACATTTTTGATTCTGGAGTTTCATGGGATTTCGCATTTAAAATAAGTCATTGTTTATAATGTTGAAGTCTTTCAGAATGAAGGATTCTTCATTCAAAAAAGATAAGGACCGGGCGCCTGGGTGGCGCAGTCGGCTAAGCGTCCGACTTCAGCCAGGTCACGATCTCGCGGTCCGTGAGTTCGAGCCCCTCGTCAGGCTCTGGGCTGATGGCTCGGAGCCTGGAGCCTGTTTCCGATTCTGTGTCTCCCTCTCTCTCTGCCCCTCCCCCGTTCATGCTCTGTCTCTCTCTGTCCCAAAAATAAATAAACGTTGA